TTCCGAAAACTCATAAAGATTCCGAATAATTCCCATGCGCATGAAATGAGAAAAAATTGGAATTTGCACATCACTAATCAAAACGCTTCACCAATCACTTGATTTACAACGGCCAATGAAATTGGCCTTTGGTTAACATCACTTTTAGAATTCTTGGGAGGAGGGTTGTAAAATGAAACGAACATATAAAATGGAATTAACCTCAAACGGGCTTATTATAGTTTAAGCTCAATAAAAATCCCTCTTCAATATTTTATTTACGTTATAGAGAAAAGCTCACTAAAATTTTTATATCGTTGTTATATCCATAAAACTGAAAAATAAATACTTTAAGCGCATTTAAATATTATAAGTTTGAAAAAAACATTTGATTTCGCATTTAAATATAATAAGTTTGAAAAAAACAGTTGAGTTACCTTTTAAAAATTCTTTATCGTTGATAATTTTTTGTAAGGAAATTTTTTTTTAATTCTTTATATAAACTCTGGTGTTACAAATGAATTATATAAAAAAGTTGATTAAATTAATTGTATAAATTATTATGCTCGTTAAATAATTTTTTATCTAAGAATATGAAGAATTTATTATAAGAGAACAGATGGTTTACCAATTGCAAGTGACACAATATCCAAGTAATGCCCGTGAGTAAAAAATATTTCTTAAAAAAATTCCGTAGTTCATTTATGAGAATTTTAGATGGATGTTGTATTTTTGTTGATGAATTCTTAAGGTCGTCTGAACTAGAACTGACTATATTAAAGAAATACCGTTATATTAGTACAAAAATATATCATATTATAAATAAAATAAAAAAGAATTCTTACCTTCAATACTATTTGTGATTATTTCAGAAGTCGTTTCTGGAAAGTTCTTAGAATCTTTAAAGCGGAATTGACAATTAATTAAGGTTTATATTTGATATTTTGTTATTAAATATGAATATATACCTTTAACATTATTTGTTATGAATTTAATAGTCCTTTCTAATGATAATTTATCAAGATTTGATAAAATTTCATTCAGCGTCGGCCGTTCGTTTGGTTCAGTAGACCAGCATTTTTCATAAAGACTAGCGTAATCTGGGGGTGTATTCGGAATAATTGTTTCCCTTTCATTTCGTGAAATTTTTTGAACAATGTTTGTCCGAGAAATATTATCAAATGGAGGAACACCACTTGTAAGTTCCCAGAGTAATACACCCAAACTATATATATCGGATCGTTTATCACGTTTAATCTTTTTCTCGTGTTCGAAATAGCACTGTGGTTCAATATACGCTGCAATTCCTACTGTGCTTAAGCTCGAAGTAGAACCGTCATTCAATTTTTTTGATATACCAAAGTCTGCGATTAATACTTTGCCATTATTTATCAATATATTTTTGGAGTGCTAAATTTTTTTTTTTACAGTAATTCAATATTATATGCTATTAATTAGAAATTTAACGTAGAAATAATTTAAGAATTCAAAATTTAAAATGAAACTTACTAGATCCCGATGAATAATATCTTCATTGTGTAAATAATTTAATCCATTGGTAATTTCTTTTGCAATTTGAATAAGCTCTACCCATGAAATCTTATAAAGACCTTCTTCTTGCTTCTTTTTTAAGTGAGTTCGTAGATTGCCACCATTGGCAAATTGCAATACTAGCATGAAATTAGCCGTTTTTGGATCTAATATTACTTTGCTAAAATCTTACATTTTTGCGAAAGCATCAAAATATTTTAGATTTTGCGTAAATAATTAGTAATATAGGTCGCTAAGAGGAAATTTTCATAGTAAATCACAAATTTAGTTTCTTACTAGCACTATTAACGAGGTTTTTTGAACAAACTACTGATTTTTTGTGATTTGTCAAAAAACCTCGTTAATAGGGCCAGTAAAAAACTAAATTTGTGATTTACTATGAAAATTTCCTCTTAGCGACCTATATTATTAATCATTTACACCAAATCTAAAATATTTTGATGCTTTCGCAAAAATGTAAGATTTTAGCAAAGTATATTCAGTGAGATTATTAAAGTTTACTATTTAAAATGATTTAAATATTATACGGTACCTCTTGAAATTCCATGCAACTTAATAATATTAGGATGATCAACTTTATAAAGAAGCCTAACCTACATGCATATTATAATATGCAATTAATTAGTTGTGGATGCCAAAGGGCTTAAAGTTAATAAAGAAAGTACCTCGCGTCTAATTTGTTTGAATGCCTTATCATCCAGACTTAGATTATTATGCAGGCTTTTTAATGCATACTTTTTTCCTTTAAAAGTGGCTGAGTAAACGATTGCAAATCCCCCATGTCCAATTATTTTACAATTACGACACGATAGGTAATCGAAACATTTAACTTTATTTTCTTTCAAATACTTTTCTAATTTCCCTGCATATTCAATTACTATCGTTATATAATATTCGTGATGTTAATACCTATTTAATGCATTAAATTTTTTGCTACCTATGCAAAAACTTACATGCTTTTTCCGGCATCACTTCTGTTCATTATAAATCAAAAGTTTCTTTGCTGATGGTTTTAGTTTTCAGGAATTAACTTTGATAACGACAATATTCCGACATAAAAGCTACGTACGAACCTACGTACTTGGAAAGTTCTTTGTAATCTTAATTATTTCATGCTATATCAATGATATTTTTTATTGGATACTAGAATGTTATTTGTTTAGCAAACACTTATTAGTGTTACATTACATTTTTATTAGCCTCACCATTAGTATTTACTTTTCACTTTCATGTGATAACCTTTTTGTAAATAATTTTGTTAAATTATCTCGGTAGCTTTTGGAAAAATTTTCGGAATTTTGCTGGTTATAAATTATTTATAAATCGTGTATTGTGAACTTTCGGAAAACTGCAACTCGGTCGCTCCACAATCTAAAATCTCGCATAACCAACGATAGGTAACCTTACGAAAGAGGTGTGCCTGATTTGGCCGGTGGATGATTAAGGCATTGGTTACTTGGGTCAGCGAAATCAGGTAGGGTAAGTTACGCGACCAAGAACTTGGTCGAACAACGATTTTTATGGGTTTATAGGGTTTATACTGGTAATAGTTAGTGATGGGAAAAATGCGCATTAATGCGCACGATTCCGCAATCATGCGCACGCATGAAACCCTCTAGTAATAGTATTAGTATAATAAAGAACGGGAAAAATCTATGCAGACACCATTTCAGTCACGGAAACCATATTCTTCATTGCAATCCATTCCTGGTATAAGAAAATGACTCTATAAAAGAAGTTGATAGTACTTGTAATCTGAATATTGGTTTGAATTTCAGTGACTGAGCCTAAAAACCTATTAATGAAGTCAATGTCTGACTGCTATATAG